GTTGGGGGGGGGGGGGCGGTGTGTTTCGTGCAATTCTTCAGTTTACCTCGTGAAAGAGGTAAATGTGGTAAGTAAGATAACGAACAAGGAAAGTTTGGTCAAAATAACAAAGAAAAGCTCATTGGGAATACCATAATGTTGCTTAGGAGGGGGGGGGGGCGTATTAACGTATGAGAGGATATGGGAATCGTTTTTTGCTTGCAATATATCAACTGAGTGTCATGGGGTATGTTTGGTGTAATCTAATCGTAATATCTACTCGTTAACGCCCTGTCAAGAAGCAAAATGACGTGCAAGATTACGACTTATTGAAAAACCAGCTGCTTCGCTTGTTTGTGGCACCCTCGTTCTGCAGTGACTGAATGGTGGGAACGTTGGGCCCGTCGCCGCCGCCGCCGCGGAGAGGCTTGGCGATACGACTGCCAGCAGCAGAGAAGCTGAAGCCGCCGGTAGTGGCATTAAGACCCTTCGTGCTGCCGGCCTTGGCTGCCTCGAGGCGTTCTTTGACAGAGGCGAGTTGAACCTCGAACCTAATCAAGTAAGATGTCAGTTACCAGCGTCATGATAGATGGACGGATACATTTAGCGGCTACATACTTATGGTTGGCGGCTGCCATCTTCTCTTGGCTGTCTTGCAGCAAGCTTTCCAGGCTCTGGATGCGCTCGTTTCTTGCAATGAGCTTACGCTCCGCAATAGCCACCTCCTTCTTAAGAGCAGAGTTCTGCTCAACGAGCTGACGCTGGACCTGAGTAAGCTGCTCAAGGTTCCTCTCCAGGAAAGCCATCTTCTTCTGCTGTGCCCGGTTGTTGGATGACCGGAGCACATTGTTGTACTGCTCACGAGTCTCATCCAGCGAGATCTCAAGCTCCACAACCCGCTCACATCGGTTCTGCAAATCTCGCATGAGGCTCTTCTTCATGACATCAAACTCGGCAATCTGTTGCTGGATAGTCTTGCCGTTAGTTACAGGGGCAGCGCCGCTGCCGGTCTTGACCTGTTGCTGGAGGTCCTCGATCAAGGTCTTCATCCGTGAGTTCTCAGCGGCCTTTTGCGCGGCATCAGCCTTCAGCTCGTCAATAAGCTCAACTTGAGTTGTTTGTCGGTTGGCATAGGCGTGCTCCAGGCGGGCCTTCACCTCCTCAACGTCGCTCTCGCTGAGGTTCTTTGTCAGAAGATCTTCATACTGCTGCTGCATAGCCTCCAGCCTCTCTTCTAGTTCGTGCCTCCTTCGAGAGTCCATTTCGCTAGATGATGAGCCAAACATTGATAATTCTGCCTGTCTGACAATGCCTTGCGTCTCCACAAGTTTAGCACGAAGATCTCTGAATTCATCAGGTGCAATGTTGTTGCCCACCGAGCTGATCTCGTGTAGCTTCTCAATGTGCTGAATAGCCTCGCTAATGGATCGCTCATTCTCGCTGAAAACATCGCTGCCAAGATCAAAACCAGCCATCATCTTGGCCATCTTCTCAGCCTTGCGTTTCTCCTTCTCATCAAAGGCTGCACCTGTTTCCTTGGCATTCATCTTGATGTCAAGCAGTTGCTGCTTCACATCATCCAGCTCCATCGTCAGTTCCGAGTTGGCCTCCTTCAAGGCATCCATGGTAATCTGTGCCTCCTTGCTCTCAAACGTCAAGCGCTCGAGTTGCATCTTGAATTCGTTCGTCTCCGTTGTAAGTCGTTCGTTCTCTTTACCCAGCCTGCTGTCGTGCTCCTTGAGGTAGGCCATCTCCTCCTTGGTATCGCGCAAAGCCTTCTCGGCCACCGTCACCTGGGACTCCTTCTCAGCCAGCTGATCTTGGAGCTCATTTTCACGGCGCAAGAACTCTTCGCGTTCATCCTTCTCCAATGTCAGGCTCGGGGTTGAAGCACGGTCAGTGGCAGCAGGCGTCTCTGCTCGGCTCTCGGCTGCCAGTCTAGATGGGGTGGAAGGACGGGGAGTCCTGGGCTCCGTCCTTGCGCCGACAATACTGTCGCCGGGCTGTGCCCATTTCTCCTTGGGAACCGATTCTCCAGAACGCCATAGCTGAACTTCCCCTTCGAGTGTAGAAATATAGTTCTCGAAGTTTGTGACTTGACCTTGGGCCTTCTTGAGCAGCAGCTTGAGCTCGGCGGGGCTGAGTTCGGCATTGACCTTTGCCTTGTTCTTGATGGACTTTGCTCTTGTACCAAATCGTAGTGTGCTCAGCGTTTCGGCATCGTTGTAACTGCTTGGCGAGCAGTTAATGATGAGGGTCGTCCGGCTGTTACCGCCCAAAGATTCTTGCAAAATTCTCGTCAATTTGGAGTCTCGGTACGGAATGTGAGATGATTTGCCGTCGGTCAAAGCATTGATGACCATGCCCAAGGCACTCAAACTCTTGTTAATTTTCTTGGCTTCCTCGAGCGTTTGTCCACTGGCGCCCGTCTTTCCTACCTTTTCACTGCCTGCCAAGTCAACCAAGAAAAGCTGGCCGCTCTTCGCCGAACCTGTCTCGACATTCTTCTGGGTGACAGTAATAACGAAGATGGAGTGCGATCGTGAGGACTCCTGGTTCATGTTGGTAGCGGCCACAGCTCGGGCGTTTCCTCCCCTCCTCATGACCTCGTAGACTTCTTGCACGCTCGATACGTAAATTTCGAGCAAGCCCTTGACGTAGACGCCACGGTTCTTCTCCTCGTGAACGGGTAGGTTGTCGTTCTGGGGAGCCAAGAGATCTCGAATTCTCTCCATGTAAATCTCCATGTAGCTGACACGCACGGTATATTCTATAGTGCTGGGGCTAGACATGATGCTAGCGAAGATCTGTTCAACAATTCGCGGGATGACGCCTCGTCCTTCGTCGTCGTCGATATTCGTGCCCATCATGGTGTACGATTTGCCGGCACCAGTCTGGCCATAGGCAAAGACGGTTCCGTTGTAGCCATTCAAGATGTCGTCTACGGTGGGTCGGATGGAGAAGTCGAAGATGTCCTGCTGCTTACATTCCATGTCGAACACTCTATCAAAGGTAAATCCTCCTTGAGCCTCTTTGGACTGTATACACTGTCAGCTAGGTCCACGAATACAAGGCTTTTTTGGGCAAAGGCGGCAAAGGCCGGTCGTCAGGCACAAGTGACAAGACGAGGGAGGGGTTCCATACGTCGAGGGAACATGAATCCTCTGAGTTGAAGGTGACGATGGGTTTTCCACCCGACTCCAGCTCGATCCGGTTTTGGGGCCGGAACCGGGCCACAACTTTGATGCTATTCGCAGACATTCTGACGGTGGTATGAGTGCCGCTGTGTTGTTGTGATCATGGATCACGCCCCTCGTGATGGAGGCACACAGGTCAGGGGCGGTGGGCACGGGCAACGCGCGAAATGCAGCGACCCCAAACGAATAAGGCGAAGCAGCCTCCAAAAGAAGGGCGACTCCGGGTAGAAGATGAGAGCCACACAAAGGGATTGATGCTCCTCAAAGCGAGCGCAAGTGTCTTTGCAGTGCAAAAACAACGACTGCCTCGACGGTTGGTTAGGTCAACAACATACAGGGCAAAGTTAGGGTCTTGCTGGTGAGGGACGCGCTTCGGGGCGGTCGAGCTTGTGGTTTACGTACCTGAACCACAGCCAGGTGTTGTCACCAGATGCGGTTTAGCGCACACGCCGCCTTAACACCTCCACCTCGGAGTCTCGATGGCCAAAAACTACCCGTAGGTACTTAGACCTTGGCCGTGTGAAGAAGACCCATGTTTGCAGCTTGTAGAAGATTCATCAAAGGCAGGGGGATGAAAAAGGAGATACTGAACACCGCATGGAACGCAAAGCGGCTTCTTGGAACAACTCTTTGTCACGCCAGGTCTTGGTTTTAAGGACACGAGAGCATCGTCCCATCTGCAGAGGAATGGAGAGACCTTGTATCTCTGCCGAGTACATGCATGCATACGGAGTACCTGATAAAGAATACACCTCGGGCTCATCGTGGATACTTGGTACTAGTTCATAACTAAGGTTGCCGACGCACGCAATGTCTAGCTAGACCGCTGTTCGTAACGGTACGAAAATGGGCTAGCAGATGCGTTCCACCTTGAAGCTTATCTACGCTGATAATTTTTCTAGATATGAGTGTTCTGTTTTGAACGGTCGGCGGTTGCTGCCATGTCGGCATTGCTGAACATCATCCAAAGCATGATCGCACAGACCGTTCGGCCGATTCGTGGCAAGCCTCGTCTAGAAACAGTGCCCTTGTGTCCTCGATTGCAATTTTGGGATTGTCGGCTACTGTAGCGAGATGCGCGTGTAGCCGGCACGCAGATTCGTTGCCATTCTCTACATGCCCTGGAGAGCCTGGCGCATAGCTGATAGAGTTTCGATGAGCAGCGGGAAAGGCGTCTCCTCTAAAGCGGCGTTGGTACTCGAGTGCCCAGGCACAAGTAATAGTTACACCAGACCTTTACACATGCACGGTAGTGACTAATTAATTACTCACTCACATGCGCAGATGCGCCACCATAGAAAAGCAAGGGTCTTTCTGTCTTTCCATGTCGCACGATGCGCGCCCGGAGCAGTGCGCACAGAACAGCAATGTCTCAACGGCCATTCCGGGCCACGCCAAGACCTCGGTTTGATATCCTGTCGTTGTAGCAGCTAGACCCTGGTGATAGTCCTCGGCTTCAATCAAAAACATTGGGGATAGAACGAGAACAGCATGTGAACTGCCTTGTAGCATGACTTGGACTAGTCGCACGGAGCCTTCGACCAGGCAAGGCCCAGATGTCCCGCAATTGTCCGACTCAATGCTCAGCCAATTCTGGCCGGTGCAGACTCCGCAGAGTATCAACCGACCTGCTTCGGGGCTTGATTCGCACCACGGCACTTCCTCAAACAGCAAATTGCAGTGGGCCGCCTCCTCTGCGTCCTTCATGCAGTTGGTAGACCCCGTACTCCGTAAATAACGTCAATATTAGGCCCATATGCGCTACGAAGTAGTTGTAAGCACTTTTTATTGTACCTTCATGCACCAACACCGGCGAATCGCAAAAGGCCAAGACCGTGTTTGATAAATGACTAAAAATGCCTTTCATGCTATCTGATATGCAGTTCCCTTGGTATAATCAGTCCAACACCATACACCAAAAACGCCCGCCAAGCCATGTCCACCTCCTTCGCGATTCGGCCGTCCGCCAGATGAGCCGACAAGAGAAACACTTGCAGTGAGTATTTCGTAGCCGGAATGTATCCGAGATGCCCACATATAGATTCGACCTACACCCATTCGTCCCCGGCCAACGTTGAACGTTGTGCACCTGTCACTAGTCCTCCCAACTTTTCTCGACAGTTTCTCTCACCCTCTTGGTATATTCTTTACGATTGTCTTTGTATAAATTCGAAGCTTCGACATTTGCTGGTGACCCAGTGTTCGGGTCGTTGAGCAAACTGACCAAAAAAACACATTAGTACGTGTCGTGCGGCTTCAGAGTCAAATTAACTCCACTCGTCTTCTCGTCACACGGAAAGCGTACCTCTGAATACTCGTCAAGACAGCCGCAACGTCATATGTCGGACTCCATCGGTTTTGAAGGATATCAAGACACAGTTCTCCAGTCGCATACACGTTCGGGTGGAACATTTGACTGATGAATTTGACCTGTGGCGGCTTGTTGGGATACTGTTCTTCAAATTGCATAACCAATCGAAAAGTTCCATCTTCGAAAGGCGTATCGGCAGGTCCAATAATGACAGCATTCCTACATCAAGACGTGGTAAGCAGCGGGCTAGGCGTCGGGGGGTTTGACCGTGGCCATCGATCGTGAATAATGGTGACGTACCATGTCATCACATTATCAGGAATAGGGGAAGCGGAGACTCCTGCAGGAGGATCTGTCTGCATGCGCTGCAGATCAAAAGTCAGACTTGATGCGAAATGAAGCATATAATGACAAACCAGTGGCAAACCTTGAAGTCACGCATCAGACGACGTCTTGCTGCGGTAGACATGGTGTGGCCGGCCCAGCTTTGGAGCTGGTTTTGTGCAAAGGGAGAGATGAGGCGGCGTTATGCAGATAGAGGTCTCGAGGATGAGGTGCGACGCAAGCAAGACACTTTCCAGCTCGTGTCTCGTCCCAACAGCTTGAGGCTTGACAGACTTTGACAGGTTGGACGGGATGTGAACAGAGAATAAATGGGGTTTGGTCATCGATGAATGGGCTGCTGGATGGACTCCCCAAGGTAGACCTGAACCGCCCCAATATCGGCGGCCTACCAATCACGCAGCATCAAATGCCAGGCCAATCATAGTGCTGCCTGAGAAGGCACAGCTGAAATCGGACAGAATGCATCACGTGACAAGCCTTAACGGGCCTGTCGCACGCGTGCGGTCGCAAGACCAAAAAGACAATTGTCTACTCCGTACCAGAGGGAAGCAATGCACACTGCGGCCAAGCTCTACGGCAGCTTGATGCAAAATGCCAATGCAGGCTCACAGCCGGATCCGACGTCATAATATGCTACTGATTACTTAAGTAAGCTGTCCCGTGTTCTGAGCCACGGCCAGGCAAGGCGCGTCTTACTTTTGGTGTCGGAAATTCTCCACTTCGGTTCCGTCGCCCGCTACAGTTGGCTTTTTAAGGCGTTCCAGGTCGATTTGTCCCTTCCCCGGAATGCCGGACTTCCCCGCTCTAAGCCGAAGCGTACCGAGCTAGTCACTTGCAATGCCACCACCCTCACTAATATCTAACCGTCGCCCGGTCGTTCGACGAGTCTGAGAGCTTCTTTTGTATTTTCCTTCCGCAGCTGCCTCTTGCCACTCACGATATTCTTCGCCTGGCCAGTTACTCCATTCGACTCGCTTCGCTCTTCCACAATGCCCGTTGCACAGCTCAGATCACCACGCCTGGCCAACCACCTGGCCCGACATGTGAAAGCGGCTCGCCACTTTTCCACCAGCGCTGCTTTGCGCAAGGAGCTCCAGGATGCTTACATCCTCAGTGCTTCCAGGACGCCAACGACCAAGGTTAGATTATAGCTTCCCATGTATTGTCCCCGACGTTTTCCAGGCTAAAACTAACTAGACCCTGCCTAGTTCAATGGCTCATTCTTGACTGTCCCTGCTCCCAAGCTGGGTGCTGCTGCCATCAAATCCGCCCTCGGAAAGTCCAAGGTTCCTGTCGAAAAGATCACTGATGTCTACATGGGAAATGTCTTGCAGGGCTCGGTTGGCCAGGCTCCCGCGCGTCAGGCCGCAATCTTTGCTGGCCTTCCCGAGTCCATTGAGGCGACCACCATCAATAAGGTCTGCGCTTCTGGTCTGAAGGCCGTTTCCATGGCCGCGCAGAACATTCAAATGGGCCTCTCGGAAGCTCAAATTGCCGGCGGCATGGAGAACATGTCCCAGGTTCCTCTCTACTTGCCCCGCGCCAGTGGACTTCCCGCCTTTGGCCATGTCAAGATGGAGGACGGTCTGATCAAGGATGGTTTGACCGATGTCTACAAGCAGTTCCACATGGGCAACTGCGCCGAGAACACGGTCAAAAACCACAACATCACTCGCGAGGAGCAGGATTCTTACGCAATCCAGTCATACAAGAACGCACAAAAGGCCTGGGCAGACAAGGCCTTTGCCGACGAGATTGTTCCCGTCACAGTTCCCGGCCGAAAGGGCGACAAAGTCATCGACACCGACGAGGGCTTCCTCGACGTCAAGATTGACAAGATTCCCACTCTCAAGCCTGCCTTTGTCCGCGACGGAAGCGGCACCGTTACTGCTGCCAACGCATCCACCCTGAACGACGGGGCTAGTGCTCTGGTTTTGGGCAGCAAGGCCATCGCACAGCAATACGGCTCCGGCTCCCGAGTCCTTGCCAAGATCTGCAGCTACGCCGATGCTGCCATGGCTCCCATTGACTTCCCTATTGCCCCTTCCAAAGCTGTCCCTATTGCTCTAGAGAGGGCCAGCATCACCAAGGACCAAGTCGCTGTTTGGGAGTTTAACGAAGCTTTTGCCGCCGTCATCCTGGCCAACCAGAAGATCTTGGGTCTTGAGGGTGCCAGGGTTAACCCTCTTGGAGGTGCTATCTCTCTCGGCCACGCCCTGGGTAGCTCCGGGTCCCGTATCCTCACTACTTTGCTGCACCAGCTGAAGCCTGGTGAATATGGTGTTGCAGCCATATGCAACGGTGGTGGTGCTGCTACGGCCATGGTTGTACAGAGAGTCGAATCCGTGTAAGATTTATGCGTATGCATGATGGAAAACAAGATGGCATGTGCATTGAGGAGGAGGCAAGGATCTGCCACATGTATCTGGAGAGGTTAGGTCAGCATGGAATATGACGAGTTCAGGTCATGAGATGATTACTATACCAGCTAAGTGCATTGAAGGAATGAGTGAACATTGGGTAGCCATTTTGAATTTGGAAGTACACATAAAATGTCGGAATCAATATGGAATTGGCGGCGTATGCAAGCTCAGGAAACATCAGCAAACGGGTGTTGGGACCTTTGCTTGCTACAATTGACGCCTTGTTGATAATATGTTCCCTGCTTTAGCTGCTTGAGAAGTGAAGCCAGTGTCCGTCTTGCCATGCCAGACGGTGTATTTCTAGTTATTCTGAGCCATCAGAATATGCATGGCATCCATAGCGACTTTCCCTGTTCCACGGCTTGGAATAAACTCGCATCCAAACTCTGTAGAAAATCTTGGCTTTGGTATACTTGCTACAACGTCGGCTTCAACGCGACGACTTCCACACTCGTCGCTCCATTGCTCGAGCCCCCCTTATTGAGTGATGTTGAAACTCTCTCTAGCCATGGAGCCCGTCAATATATGTCCAGCTTGTCACCGCATGGCTTGTCCCGACCAGGGCTATAACACTAATCTATCCCCCTTCGCCTAGTATTCCCCTATCCTCTTCCCTAGCCACCTACATATATACTATTCACTTGCTCCACGTCGAGATTCGGGGCTGTTCTGTCTCCAACGGCATTTCTAATATTGTCGGCCATGTCGACCAGGGTTAGGGTTAGAGCATCGCCTGTCCCCCACCCACCAGACATCGAAACCTCAACTCACAGCCTCACATCGAACCTCACCCTCACATCACGCGCAGCACTCCAGCTGCCCACCATGTCCCTCGTCGCCCAATTCCTCACCCAAATTAACCAGTATGTGCGTCTCCAACAAGGGGACAGCCTCCGCGCCTGGCTGCAAGTGGAGCCCAACTCAGCAAAATCCTACTACGACATGGCCGCCGAGCTGCGCGCCAACTTCAACACGGCCAGCGGCTTAGAAGCCGCCATCGACACGCATTTGCCCATCGACGACGACGTGCCAGATGGCCAGGCAACAGCATGGCCGAGTTTCCAGTCGTTCATGAAGGATTACCTTACGCTTTGGCGGGATATTAATTATGATGACTTGCTGGGAACGCACGAGTTGCTGACAACATTAGTGAAGTGAGTTTTTCTGTTCCGCACTCAACTCAACCCCCTACCATGCGCAGCATAACTTCTAGACCTTTTTTGTTTGGCCAAGTTACTAACAAATCAGAAAGCTCTTGCGGCACGGCCTTTGCCCATCCCACGTACGGAGCCATGCTTCTGCAAGCAAGCATGTCCTTCTCCGTAACCCTGGCGCGCTTCACACTCCAGCTCAACAGACGGCCTGATCTTACGCGGCGCATCCGCTCCGTCGACGAAGATAGCGGCGGTAAGTCCGTCGCCGAGTCGTCTGCGGAAATTATCCAAAAGATCTTCACCACGTGTTTGACGGATCGGTCCGTGGGAAGGGTGCCAGAGGGCAAAAAGGTTGGCGTGTACATGTTTGCCAACCTTGTCCTGAAGCTCTTATTCGCAGTACGTCCCTTCTTACCCCTTGTCACCTCTCCTTCTCTCCTTTGTCAAAACTCGATTGAATCTGTAAAGAAGAGAGGAAAGAAGAGCAAAAGGGCGTGACACGCTAATGACACCATGGCAAAAAAAGTGTCGAAGAACAAACCTCGCCAAGATGATATTCGTCAACATATCCACCATCTCACCCCCTTTATCCCTCTACCCTGCCTCCCAGCGCGTCACCTTTCTCTACTATCTTGGCCGCTTTAACTTCTCCAACCAGCACTACCAACGCGCCGCCTTGTGTCTCGAGCAGGCCTACCTTCAAACGCCGCCTCCGCTCGTCTCCCACCGCACCAACATCCTGACATACCTCATCCCCTGCAACATTCTCCTCGGCCGCTTCCCCTCCGGCGCGCTGATGCAACGACCTGAAGCGGCAACACTCAAATCCGTCTTCGTCCCTCTGTGTGAAGCCGTCCGCGTCGGAAACTTTATCCAGTTCCAGCACCACCTTTCAACTCACGAGACGTGGCTTTTCGAAAAGGGCCTTTTACTGGCCCTGACGCACCGCCTGCGTCCTTTGCTATGGCGCTCGCTGGCTCGCAAGACGTTTGTCTTCACCTATGTGCCGCCTGCGGATGCTTCTTCCCGAAAAGCAGCCACTCTTGACATCAGCCATTTGCATGCAGCGGCCGTCTATGTGCAGCGCAGACTGGAAGGCTGGCTCCACTACCATCCAAGCGCCCGGGGCAGACCGTCCTCGCAGGCAAATCCATTGTTTATGAGAGCTGTGACGAACAACGTCCAAGAATCGGCAGAAACGACGCTTGTTCCTCCGCCAAGAGGGCCGACCAAGCTCCGCCCAAACGAGGGTTTGATCTGGGGCAATGCAGAGATTACGCTGGACGATGTGGAGATGGTGGTTGCCACGCTGGTGCAGCAGGGCCTGATGCATGGGTTTGTGGCTCACGGGCAGGCGAGGTTTGCGATTATAGGGGCGAAGGCGAAGGGCCCTGTTGTAGCGGGGTGGCCCGTGGTTTGGCAGGCCATTCAGGAGAGGAGGTACGAAGGGGATTTTGATATTAATGAGGTGCCTGGGTGGGTGAAAGGTTGAGTGTGAGTGTCGAAAAAGAACAACTACAACACGAATAGGTGTTGTTGCGTGTATTTGTAACATGGCTGGATTTATGTTTGATCAAGATACCCCTTGATGAGAATGACATTGCATTTATCACATCACATCACATCACGCAAATACCCAACCGTCTTGAAGTAACAAGGTGAGAGAATCTCAATTCAATACTGTCATCTAACGACCCCGAGACAGCTCAAAGGCGCCGTGGGATGCATAGTCACCCAAGAACCTCATCTGTATATTGAAAATAAAAAGTAGTTCTTTTTTTTCCAACCTCAAGACCACGCAAGGCTAGGAGAACTTGGCTGCAAGGGCGCATCTAAAAGGCTATTAGTTAGCCCAAAGGCCGTCGTCCATTGTGAGGGCTCACGGAAGGGAGCTATAGCGAGGTCACAAGAGCTCGTGATGCAACTGACAAGTTGTATTGCAAGAGAGCTAAAAGAAGTGAAGAAGTTCATCATGCAGAAGAAGAAGAAGAAGAGCTAGCTAGAGGGTGGCAGCGTAGCAACAATAACCTGGTGCCTCACACGTGACCATGTGGGCCCTAACATCCATTCCCCAAAGCATCTGCGCTTCCATCCAGACTGCAAATGCATCAATCATATCCCTTGAAAAAATTAAACGCTTTTATATCCTTGCACCTCCAACCCCCACCAACAAAACGCGTCTCGCAGTCACAAGAGGGCGAAGTCGAAAAAAGTGAAAGCATCTCCCGACACGAGAGGGTATCGATGAAAAATATGGTTGAAAACTGCAGAGAGCACTTTTCAAAAGAAGAGAAGGAAAAGTAGAGTGCGCAAACGTGTACCGCAAAATAGATACAATGGGCTCCGATAGAGGAGGTGTCAATAGACAATAAACACTATCGTCGATAGGATTCGGTTTGATACATAGTAAGTGAAGCTAAGATCCAAATAGCACGCTTGAGCGTGCCCAAGTCGGTCATGGGTATAAAGATATGCCTTTCGCGAATAAAATTACTAAAAAATGAAGCCAGCCGCGACAAGAAAAGGAGCGACAGCCTAATCCAGAAGATTTGGAAAATGACGAACAGCTCGACCGAGAATATTGACAAAGTCGATCGGCATGCTCTATAGATTGTAAATACCAAGTCAAATATTTGACATCGAAGAGAAGATGTGGCTGGCAGTGAGCATGAAGCGTTACACACGTGAAGACAGAGAGTATTCCTGCTAGAACAAGCAAGCGGCTGCGACGAGGGCCACGACGAGGCCAGCCACTGCGGCACTGCCTTGCTGACGGCCAGCTTCTCCTTTCTTTTCGGTAGGCTTGGGGGCGTTGGGGACTGTAGTCTCGGCTATGAAGGTCGTGGGGGCTGTGGACGACACGAATGTGGTTGTGGTGTTGCTCGAAGAAGTACCGTTTTCATGGAATATGCCAGGGATCAAAGTAGGAAGAGCATATGATGTTGTTGACGATGAGGATGACGACGTTGTTGTTGTTGTTGTTGTTGTTGGTGGTGATGTTGTTGATGATGATGATGATGTTGTTGTTGTTGTTGTTGTTGTTGATGACGAAGAGGGCGTCAATGTTGAGGACGAAGTTGGGACTAGTGTCGTGGTAGGCTGAGAGGTGGTAGTCGGCGCGACGCTGGTGGTGGTTGGCTTAGGGAGCGTAGACGTCGTCGTAGGGATCTGGCTCGTCGTAGGCTGCTGGGACGTGGATGGCGGAGGAGGAGGAGGAGCAGACGAAGATTCCTTGGGTGTTTCCTTATTACCGCCAGATGCATCGAAGGCCACAATATGGGCAGAGCTGCCCTTGGCAACAGTGACCACACAGAAAGCAGAACCACCGGCACCGACAGCGGCATTTTTGCTGGCAACACTGCCCTCGGCAGCGGACGGATCGATCTGGCAGGGCAGGCCAGAACAGCCACCGTCAGGGCATTCGATCTTTACGCCGAATCCAGGCTTGGTCCCCTTGAGGGAGGATGATTCCCAGATAGGGTTCCATCCAACCTTGACAAAAGTTTGGCCGTTGCTGTCGGTGTTGGCGCCAGCAACGTAGGGACTCCAGTTACCAATTGGCTTGTCTTCAGTGCCCCAAATGCACCCGTCGGTACCAGTACCAGGGGGGTTAATGTAAAAGCTGGAATAGTCAGTTCGAGTTTCTATCTGCATGAACATGTTTCTCCATATACATAGGAGAAGGGGGCGTCTTACTGAGCGGCAGTGCTCTGCCAGTACGAGGAGCCAGGAACAGCGATAGTAGCTTCAGAATTGACAAGCGTAGGAATCAACATGGCCTCATTACCAGGTAGAACAGTCTGACACCAGGACATGTGACTTTTGCACTTGTTGATGGCCTTGACAGACCCCGTTCCTTCAACACAGTTGGGCTTGTCGGGGAAGGGCTTCTTGACGTTGCCGTTCTTGTCGCAATACAATCCACCATTCATAGAGGCAGGATAAGTATACGTCGAATCCGGATCCCATTGATTCATTACCATACCAGGCTTGCAAGCAATAGGGCAGTAGTTGCCTGGCTTACACTCTTGATCAGGGCTCATAGCCCATCCGGCATTCTTCTGATCAGGAGTGACAGCAACGAGGTTGGGGTCATCGGTAGGAAAGGCGCAAGTTCCTCGCTTGACTAGGACGTTGGACTCGGCTCGCGAGTGAACATGGCCGTGAGGTTGAGCCAAACGCTGATGCGCCTGGTGCATCCGACGATGGTGAGAAGTGGCGTCGCATCCAGCGATGAATACGGCAGCCGTGCCAAGTATGACCTGAAGAATCGGGGTCTTCATGATGTTGTATGACTTGAGTTGACGGGCCGAGTTGAGGGTTGAGGGCGTTGGCAAGTATACAAGGGTCCCAAAAGTCTATCCAAGACTGGGACGTTCAGCGCCAGGTTTCGTCGCGTAGTTCTCGAATGCTGATCCGTTTCGAGAATGGCGGCACCTGGCAAGGAAGACGAGGGTACGTTTCAGCTGGAGCGTGATCCGTTTGTTTCGAGTTGTTATCCGTTATATTGCTGCTAGAAGATGTGATTCCATGGAAGAGAGTGGCGTTGACGTTGGATAGTCAATTCAGTAATGAGCGACGAGGGTCAAAGGAAGGACGAAAGGAAAGCAGAAATAATGAGCGATTTCAGTGACCAGGCATCAGGAGTCTGGGGATGGGGAGAGAGGACAAAGAGGAGGAGGAGAGTGAGGGCCTGGGGACGACGATATTGAGCACCTCGAGCCACCGCAACTCCCAATCGAGGATTGGGGGAATGGGAGACGGGGGGCAGAGACCGGGGGCTGATTGGGCGTCCATCTTCTGGGAGGAACTTCTGGAGGAGGGCTGCTGGATCAGCCTTGTTTGTGTGAGGTCAAGTGGTGAGAGGAGGGGGGCGAAAAGCGAGTGACTGGTGAAATTGCACTCCATCCGTGGCCCCAAGTGTGGCGTCTCTACTGTGAGACGCCTGCGGGCCGTTGCCAATCGGCGGGAAGCTCTGCGCCTCCCCCGGTCTGGCAAGGCGGTCTAAGGCAGGAGCGACGCAGGTACAAGACCTTTGCTGGCCAACCAGCTGGCGCCAACGGACAAAACGAAATGAGGGCAAAACCACAGGTACCAGAGATAGGTTGGTCGGAAATGAAGTCAACATCCACCCACCATCGATCCATTGAATATCCATCCATACCCATCCTCGACTCCTGCGCCTACCCATCTGGCCAGAGGCACGCTTGCCCAAGCCACAACGTATAATAGGAATCAGTACACGCCTGTACAAGGCGCGGTCCACGCCTGCGAGCAGCTCTGTCTACCTACTAGGTGGGTAGTCTTCTTTCTGAATGAGCCCCTAATAACCGTCACGACTCGTTGCTGCGAGCTAAAGCACAAAGGAGCGCAATTAGACACAGGAGGGGGCCCGCGAAGCATAAAGGAAATTTTTATCATTGCACTGTTTCAAGATGACCCTAATATCAATCGCCGCGAACAGACCTTCAACCTTCGGTAGGGGCCCTCAATCCAATCAGACGCGCGCTCTGGTTCTGGCAAATCTGGCAAAAATCTGACATCTGCCTATGGTACCTGCGTCCTGTCCAAGGGACGTCCCACTAAACTAAACTAGTTTTCCTGCTGACCTGAGCCACAATCAACATGTCGGGTGGTGATGGCGCCGTACTGTGAGCTATGTACAATACCTTCTGAAGCGCGTTGGCATGTGTTGACATTTTTGCTGAGACATCTAGTCGCGCTATGTGATTCCGAGACGCCTTGATTGAGAAGAAGGGGGGAGAAAAATTAATAAACAACCCATGACGATATCAGAAAATCAATGGCGCCGTCGCAGCTCCGGTTGATGGGGCACGTCATTTAAAAAAGTAAAACTGGCAAGCTGGGTCCATTCCTCTTCCTGGCCCCTCAGTCTGGTCCTACTGGTGCAGCAAAAAGGTCGTGGTTGCAGCCGAATAAGGACAGAAACTGCCGAGTATTACCATCACGAACGCGATTAATGCATCATCCTTGTATTTAATGCTCACAACCCTACCGGCTAGTCTCGCCTATGCTTGGGCCAAGTCATGCTCCCTTGTTGCCCAGGACGGCTCTTTATTACGTGCTAGTACGGAGTACTAGTACCTGGTTCGAATGCGTCACTTGGCTGCTTCCCCTTCGATCGCTACTACTGGCACCTTTTCGTGAGTCGATTCTTGTCGCCGGCCCAATTTCTTGAGTTCCCTTATTGCCTGCCCCTTACGTGGACACCTCGTGCTTTGGGCAAACCAAAGGACAAGAAATGGTTTTTTTTTTTTTTGTTTTTTTTTTATGGCTTAATGCGTCATAGCTTCTTCCACTTCCGCTACCATTTAATAATAGTCGAGTTTCACAAATCCAATGTTTCGATCCAGGGTACTTACTGCATAAGCTTGAGCCTAAACTCCCAGCTCCGAAAACGTAGGAAACGATGATGATGATGTTATTGCTTATGGCCCGCGCAGACATCCAACCTGCACCCTTAGTTTGACCAAATACAGGCTTGGCCATGTAAAAAAGGGGAAGGAATACTGCGCACAGGGCGAAGATAATTACGATGTTTTGGGTGTGAGAGCAGGCCTGGTTTCCAAGGCGCCACGAGACGTCCAGACTCGCAGTACATCATCGGCTTGGCACGGATAACCAACTATTTATTGTACGACCATAATCTCCACGCACAATCGTACGAATATCGCACGTGGGTTGACTAGCACGACATTCGAAGCCACCGTGTAAACGGCTTATCGTCTATGATGATGCTCCCTAGCCATGCCGGGCTTGTTCCGTGCTCCGTACTCCGTATAAGAAGCCCGGTTACCCATGCCCAGTATCCGGGCTACCAGAACGACTCCGCAGAGTGTAAACGAACAGTCCGGCGGAAACCTGTTCCCGCCGCATTCCAGCCTCAGAGTGAACACATTGTGCCCTAGACGGTGGACGACGCGTGACTGGATTATTAGGGACCCATGTAAATGTATGTACTCGGCATCATGCGGTATTGACAAGTGGCGTCGTTAATTAACGGACTGCTACTCCGTACGGTGTATCATGCACAGCGATCCATAATCATCATGCTGAGCCTAAGCCAAGCATGGTCCTCTAGTATGTTATGTTGAGATCTGTACATACCCGTTGCCATGTCGTATCCGCTTGGGGACGTGCATAACAATGCCAGAATGGTACGCTCCCGAACATGGCAGGCTGGAGTAATGCGACCATGGTCCCGCGTCTTGTGGTGGCCAGTATTTCTCATTGCTCGTATTGGCGCCGTGACACCTCATATGCGCAACGTTTTTAGTCCATCGTGAGCTGGCTCGAAGGATGCCCCCAGCAGCCAATTTCGTAAACTAGAGGGGAATAGCGAATGTTTTGCTGCCTTTGATGTATCCCGCATTACAGTGAATTTCTTGTATAGATGTCCGAAACATCGCGTGGACGACTGTTGTAGTACCTACACCTCGTGATACTTGTGTAATACGAGTAGCAACACCATACAACGCTGCTGTCGCATCAGTACACTACCCTGACTATCATCCAGGCATTTAGCATGACACTGTTCTGTTTATCAATAAACCTTATATTCGAATCGGGATATCTCTGTTCTATTATACAAAGGCCAAATGTTTCACATTCATGGCATACATGCATATCTACACAGGGTAGCTCACAGCATCTTCTCCCTGTGCCCGACCACTCTCGCAAATGAGTCGAAAGACATGGTCATGGAATGGCGCCCAGCCGTCTTACTTCGCAGGTGGTCGTCGTAGTCTAGCATTTCCTTGTATGGCACCTTGGCTACAATCTCGACCATCCTGTCCGTCGTCTTCTTGCCCCTTAGAGATGTCACCGAGTCGTAAGGATCAGGTGGAGCGTAAATCCTGGACACGTCAATCAAGTCGTCGCCCGTGGACTCGGCAGACCTATCTTTGACTTCAAGAACTTGCCCGCCCGCGCCAGCAGTAATGTCATGCTGCACGGTTCCGGCCGTCGCTTCCGGACAAGTAATGTGTGTGAGCATGATGGGCTCCAGAACCCCAATTTGTTGCTTGTCGAAGGCGTCTCGGAGCGAATTTTGCACCGCCGTTCTAGCGACACTGCTGAAATGTCCACCTGTAGGGCTCTCGAGTGAGCCCTCAGAGGTGTCAAGGCTGACCTTGACATGGCAGCTGTGAACTGGTGAGGCTCTGCGAGGACCCCGTGCCAGTCCAGCAATGGCTCCGTTAAGAAGCTGATGTCGAGCCTCTTCCACGTCAAAGGCCAAAGTAGATGATTCCTGGGACTGGGGAACTTCTATCTCATAAATATTGCCGTCTATTTCAACGCTAGATTCCAAGAGGGTACTGCGGTTGTCTTCATCAATAGGCTGTAATATTACCGTACAGGCAGCCTTGCCCGGTTTGCTGGCGACCGGTCTATCAAAGACTGTGTAGTGTGGCTTGGTAGGTTGAATCACGCTTTCCTTGTAATCAACCTCGATTTGACCAAACTCGGCATCGATTCTATGCTTTTGTCTCATATTATAAAGAGAGACATCCAGGTGGAGTTTGCCCATTCCCTGAATTGTGAATTGATCCGTCTTTGAGTTTCGGCTCCATCTAAGACTGGGATCTTCTCTGGAAGCATTTTCCAGCGCCATCTGTAGCTCCTGGGCCGCGACGTTCCCGTATGGTTCCACTTGTAGAAATGCCACCGGAGGTGGGATTTCAGGAGGTCGAATCTGGACATGGCGAAGATGCTCTGGAACCGGTTTGCCTCCCACAGTCGTAATCAATGTATCTCCAGTTCGGGCTTTCTTCAGGCCTCGGAGAGCGCCGATTTGCCCGACTGTGAGCTCTTGCACATCTTGTGTTTTTGATGCTGATATCTGAAGGATACCCATGGGACGCTCCTGGGCGTTGATATTGGTATTGAAGCTCGAAGCATTACGAGTTAGGGTGCCGTGGTAGACTCGGACAAAGCTGATGACACCTTCCTTTGGATGAGTCACGACCTTGAAGATGGATGCTACAGAGGCAATATTTTCTCCTGCCTTTTTGCCTTTGCTGTCCAAAACGCTGTGAAGCCCGAGCTTGGAGGACCCAACTCGCACCTCAGCATCTGGTCGTTCTGCTGGGTTTGGCAGATAATCGGTGATGGCGTCCATCAGTGGCTCAACGCCGAAATGACGAAAGCTAGAGCCAGCAAAGACTGGAATGACCCGTCCGTCTCCGCTTCGAATGGCACGCCGGATGGCCTGCTTCAGCATTGAATCTGAAATATCAGGATTCTCAGCAAGAAATTCGTCCATGATTGCTTCATCAAAATCGGCCAGGCCCTCAATTAAACGTTGCCTGGCCAGCTGCATTTCAGCCAAAAGGCCAGGATTTGAAGCAGAAAGCTTCTTTCTCAACTCATCTGGTCCATAATGAACCTTCTCGCGTTCCGACTTCCATCTGTACCCGATGCTGTTGATGATGTCTATCACACCAACAAACACTTCTTTTTCCCACCACGGGATTTGGCATACGAGAGGCCAGCCCTTGAGTCTTGTGCCGATTTCCAACACAGCTTTTTTGAAAGATGCACCTTCACGGTCCAGCTTATTGCAATATACGAGGCGAGGAATCTTGAAATCTTGCGCTGAGCCCCAAACTCTCTCTGTGTGGGCTTCAACACCCTTGACCGAATCAATGATGCAGACAGCGCCATCTAGAATGGGAAGACATCGATCAACTTCAAATCTAAAGTCTTGATGACCAGGTGTATCAATCAAGTTTACCGTTTTGGGACGGGTGCCAGGAGCACAATTCTGAGCTTTCGGCCAATTGAAGGTAATGGCGGCTGACTGAATGGTGATGCCTCGCTCTCTCTCCAGGTCCAGAAAGTCAGTGACGGTGTTTCCAGCATCGACATCTAGAGGCTACAGTCAGTTAATGAATTCGAGCACCTTTGTCGCCAACTTACCTCCAACTCTTTGCGTGACGCCGCTGTAGTAGAGCATGCGCTCTGTGGTTGTTGTTTTGCCCTGAATTTCGCAGTTAGTCAACCATTTTCCAAACAATACTACCAATTGCACCAACATACGGCATCAACATGAGCAATTATACCGATGTTGCGGATGCTCTGTATTTGAGCATCTTGCTGTGATGCAGCTTGGCTATGCCGGGTGCGTCGGCTGAGTGCTATTGACTTGAATGCCACGCCGTGTCCCAAATTATGTGCTATTTTCTTCTGAGAAGGAGATATCCTCCGGCACAAAGACAGAATAATCATTTTGAGTTATTGCCGAAGGGATATTTTGGTCATCTGAGTCCACTTCATTGGGGTTCAACGCCCAGAGAGTCCGCCAATGTCTACACTTAAGAGTAATGTGATAGTCATGGAATCAAAAAACCTCAGAGACTTGGGATTGTTGTTGTTTCGCAAATTGTCCCACGAAGCCGTCAGTTTGTCATGACAGCCAGCAGTATTGGAGCTTGGCAGGCCAGAGTGGCAGAATTCCCCGAAGCTCATCCATGTCATGTCTGGGCCTTGCCAACCATTCCAGCTCAAAACAGGTAGGCGGTGAATGGCCCCCTTGAATGTTGCTTGCTTGTTGCTGCCTCTTCTAGACCCATTTTTTCAACCCATCATTGCGCCGCCCCTGATGGTGGACACTTCAGCTGGTAACGTCAGTGTCGACGTCGACTCAGTCCCAATCGACTCTTCACTTTACTACCACCTCTTTTGCGACACGCAATCAATTTCTCTAGCCATCGCCGCTCCGCCCTCGAGCATAAAGCTGTTGCCTGGATCTATATCGACAGCGCGCCCCCCTTGCCGCTTGTATTTATATCCGTCCCTATCTTTCGGGCTTTGCATTATCTTGTAGACGGCAGCATCGTATCCCTCGTTCATCATGGAGCTCTCTGACATTTTGTATGTGTCGCATGACAAGGAGCTTTGCCCCCCAACCCCAAATTCGACAGCCACTGACGTTTGTTTGTCCAAAATATAGCCGAATTGTTAACTTGGCCGTTGCGGTTATCACCATTCTCGGGGGTATCGCCTCGATTTTCGCCTTCAAGCTGTACGTTCTCGCCTCTTAGAAAAGCTTCCATCCTTGCCGGGGCAGTCTTGATTCGCGAATACGATCGCAGACACAGACGCTCTAGCTTGGCCCAATCTCCGAGAAGCGACATCGAGACAACGTAAGCTGATAGATGATGACAGGCAACCGATTATCCTGGGCGCTTATATGATCGTTTTTGGTCTTGCTATTGCCTTGCTTGGTAAATGTCCAGTGACGTCCGTTGCAAACGATATTGCAGCTAACAAATTGCAGAGTTCCAGATTCCCCCTCAGGTATCTCGATACGCCAACTTCCTCTTCTCCTTCATGGGAAGAGGTATCTGTAAGTGGAAAGGTTGACGAGACATGGCTGCGACTGAAGTAAATCTAACTCCATATCGTAGTCTATATCCTTGTTGGTGGTCTTCTTCTTGGCCAGCACGTCCTCAGCAACATTGCTGGTGGCACTGTGGGCATTGTCGGTGTCGGCTATATTGCTCTCGAATTCATCCCCTCGATCGAGCCGCCTAGCAACATGCGCGAGGCCGATGCAGGCTGGGGTGCCGAACAGGTCTAAGCAACTATGCCCGGAAGTTCCCCTGAAAGGGGGCGCTACCTTTTCTGTTGCATAATCCGTCGCAAGTGTCACGACTACAGTCAAGGATGACCCAGGCGAATCGATTTTGAAATGCTCTGACACGAACCCTCTTAGAGTGTGAATGCAAGTACTTTTGATATTGGGAAGAAAAGGAAGAAGGTATAGAACGGTACGGTTTGTTCGACGTACGAACATGGTATGGAGAGGCGCAAAGTTCATAGGGAAAAAAACTTAAAAAGCACCAAAAGTATTATTCCATCTGTGTCATACTATATATATCACTGCTTCTTGTTCAAGTTTCCGGCATTCTCAACTCCCCCAGCAACACTATTGATACCACCCTGAAGACCACCTCCAAGTGATGTAATTCCATCGCCTACTGGCCTGACTGCGTCGCCGCCCACGCTATTCACCGTATCTCCCAATCCCTTGGTCGCAGCGCCAGTGACGCCTCCAACTGTTCGTGAAACGCCGCCGACAGTGTTGCCAAGTGTGCTGGTCAAGAAACCAAGTCCGCCTTGGACCGGGCCGCCAGCATCGTTTGCCTGGTTGGAAACATTATCAGTCGCATTGTTGACTGCGCCAGTAGCCCTTTGATCCGCCATGATTGTTTGGTTCTCGGATATCAAGAGTAGGAAGGTTGTGTCTTTTTTTTTGTTGGGCTTTCGTAGAGTTGATCTTTTTGAGTTTAAAGCCCCTCTCATCAAATGTAAATAACCGAGACTCTCGTATTATTTATACTTGTATCCAGTGGTGTACAACAAATTCGTGTAAACAGGTTTCCGGGGGACCAGCGTGATAATCCTGACGTCATGTGGGCGGTGGGCTTGGCATCATGATGGCAAGGTCCCCAACGTCTGGCGAACCCGCCGAATGACAGGCCCTGGTTTACTCGAAAGGGGCATGCGAAATCCTGTTTCAATGAAATCCGGGGCTCGGGGCTTTTGGGATGGATTGCACGTTTTAGGAAGTTAAGTCCTCAGATGGGGAGGATCGTTGGGGTCAACGGGGGATCTCATGTGATACTGCATATACTATTCAGGAGACGAAAAAAAGGAAAAAAGACAGCTTTGGACTTTTCGATACGCCAACAAGAACTAAATGCATTTACATGTGAGAATCAATCCCCTATTTTTTTTTTCTTCTTGGTTTGGAAAGGCGATGCTCAACTTAACCAATGTTGAATTCATCTGCGGCGCCACTCATCAACATCATGCTCTTCTGCTTAATAATATCCATGGCTGGCCTCTGATCCACAGCCGCTGATGAAGTGTCGTCGTCCTTGGAGGAAGAGTGGCGATCCTTGGGGTTGGCTGAGCCCTTCTTCTTGTTGGCTTTGCGATCGATACCCGCGCCTATGCCGCCGGGGGGATCGCGGAGGCCGAAGCTTTTCGCGACGTGCCCCAGGTGGAGCTGCGTGATGTCAAAGTAGACTCGTTCTTCACGGACATGTGTTGCGTATGCTCTGATGTGAGACTTGAAGCCGTTGCGTGCGAGCTCCAGGCGTTTGTTGTCGTTGATGAGGCGCTGTTCAAAATGAAGTTGTAGTGATTCAGCTTTATCGTGGTATGATTGGCCGTCTGTTGGTGTGGCGGACGTTTCGACAGGGAACTCAAGCTTGTTCATTAAGCCCGTCTTGAGAATGCCCTCATATGATTGGGATGAGAGAGGGGTCGAGGATTTGAGGAGCTCAATGTAGCCTTCTTCGGTCCCGGGGAGGAGGAAGAGCGTGGCGTCGCCAGGTCTGCCGGCGCGGGCTGTTCGTCCCACGCGGTGAATGTGGTCGGCGAAACTGAATGCTGGATCGTACTCAATGACCAAATCAACCGATGGGATATCTAAGCCTCGAGAAGACACGTCGGTGGTGATGAGCAGGGACGGTGACTTGCAGGCGGAGAACGATTTCAGGGTTGCTGTCCGGATCGGTTGAGATAGCGAGCCATGCATCCTATGCAAAATGACGTCTGGGCTTGCGGGCGACGTGATGTACGCAGCCTTGGAGACTGTCTTCTCAAGTAGCTCCTTGTCCTTTTGGGAAGCTGCTGGCAACTCTGTCTCGGTGGGGTCGCGAAGCATTTCGTAATGGAAATCAACGGTGTCAGCGCATGACATAAAGACAATGGCCTTCATAGTGCGCCCGCGCCTGGAGAAGACCGATTTAAGGTATGACGTGAGTGTCACTAGACGAAGCTTAGAAGGAACAATAATGTACGTTTGGTGTAATTGGGCCGGGGCTTTGTGAACAACGTCCTCGTTGATTTTGTCGTCGTCGCTCTTTTCGGTGGCCAAGAACGTTGCATCAGCAAGACTCATTTCTCCCAGCTTTTGAACGTTCATCTTCATGGTAGCTGAGCACAGCACTGTGACTCGCCTCTCGGGCAGACTCTCAAGAGATGTTCCGTTCTCAGTGGTTTTGGCGACGGAGACTTTCTTGAGAGCATCAATGGTCTTCTTCAAATCTTCCTCAAAGCCCAAATCCATCAACCGGTCACCCTCGTCCAGAATAAGCCAGCGGACAGTGCCCATATTCAGAGCCTTTGTGTTGTCAATGTGATCAGCCAGGCGTCCGGGTGTAGCAACCAGAAAGTTGACACCCTTTCTGATCCTGGCTTTTTCGGCCTTTTTGGACTCCCCACCAGTGATTGCGGTCGATACCAGCCATGGAAAGGGTCTGATAAGCTGCTCGAGGACGGTATGTGTTTGCTTCGCAAGCTCTCGGGTAGGTGAGACGACGATTGCAAAAATGCCGGAATCTCGATGTATTTGTTTGCCGTCGCCTTGACTGCTGAGCATCAGGACTCGATGCAGTATGGGGAGGAGATAAGAAAATGTCTTTCCGGAACCAGTTTCGGCTTGTACAAAGGCGTCGCCATTATTGGACAGCATATGCGGGATGACTTTTTGTTGAATGGCGGTAGGACGTTCGAGGTTCATCTTGGCCAACGCATCGACAAGTCGAGTAGAGAGGGTCAGTGAACCAAAATTGGCAACATCGGTGAGTGGCGCATTGGTGGGTTGTGGTGCTTTCCATTCTTCTTCTTCTTCTTTTGTAATTTCGGTCGTCTGGGCTGGATTGAAGGAAAAGAGGCGCGAAATAACCTGGCGATTGCCCTTGGCCGTGGGGTCGGACTTGCGCTGATCGGAACTATCGTTTTCTGTAGCACCGTGGCCAGATCGATCATATCGAGAGGCTGATCTGTAACTTGGATGATTTCCTGATGTGTCGCGATTGACTCTTTGTCTTTTTGAAGATCGGAAGCTGTCGTCTTGCGTTTTGTCGGAGGAGGGACAGGAGTGCCGCAGGTTTGCGCTCCTCTCAGCGCGCTTCCTGTCTCGCCATCGGCCGCCTTTGTATTTGATCTGGGTCTGGAGAGGCCCAGAGCCCAGCTCAAAATTCAAAAGCATACCATCATCTGCCATGATTGATAGCTGTTCGTAGTTCAATTGTTGATAATGGTGGGGCTGGGGCTGGATCTTCACCCAGACTGCCGTCAATTGGTGTCGCGATTTTGGTTTTTTTTTTTTCCTTTGGAAAACGTTATCGGGCTTATCGATAAGATAAGGGAACCATCCCGGCCGCCTGCGTGCGTGACGATCTACTAGACCCTACCTACTTAAGTACCTAGGTACCTAGGTAGGGTCTACTAGTAGTTAGACGGTAAGGCAAGACGGCATGAGCATAGGATCTTAACTAAAGTACCTACTAGCTACTTAAGAGGTAGTAGTAGATTGATAATACACACCACCAAGATGGTCTGCGCGGTTCGATTTGGACGGGCCGGCAATCTAGATGCCAAGTATTCAATGCAGGTTTGACCCAAGAGCATGGACACGGCGGGCATGGATCGAAATCTTTTTCATTCACACGGCAAGGTTACATGGATGCTGCAAACCTTTGTACAGTACACACGTCTAGGCAGCTACCTACTTAAGTAAGCTACCCTAGGTACAGCGACCTAGTACTTGGGCATTGTCAGTTTATTCTTAATTGAAGACAAGACCTGGAGAACACGATCATATCTGATGTTGCGGGGTGATCCAAACTGCCCTTGTCGCGTCTCATGGTTTGATTCCTTGATGTTGGCCTAAATCCGAATTTTCTCGGGAACGGGCTTCATGCATACCAAATTCCAACTGACTGGACCTGGCGTTTCGGGGCCGGGCTTCTGAAAAGACCGAGAGATGCGAGGCTCGGCGATCCGCAGGCTCAGGCAGAAAGGAGAACGCAGCATTGAAGAGAGGAAGTGGAAAACGCTTGACGTTAGCCTGGCATCCTGAGGTCTCCGGGGCATCCGAGTGTCTGGCGGGAGATTATCGTGCCAAAGGCCATGTGACGGCTAAAAATTGGCAGAAGAAGCTGGGGATTGGAGAGATGAAGATATGGCCCGCTAGACTACAGGGCGTCTGGATACTGGGCACCTACCTACAGGTACTTACTTAGAGGGTCCCAAAGGTCTGGTTAGGTGGGCACTTGCGTCAGTACTCATGGAGTCAAGTCTGGTATGTAATAGGGCCCTGGAGGCTGCTGGCGCTGACAGTTTCAGGGCAGCTGGGCGTTGCATGTGCCACTGAGTCACCGCCGCTAGTGGGTGATGTGTGTGAGTTTTCATAGAGGCTACAAAATAGTACTGAACCAGACCAGACCAGACCCGTTGACGTCCCATTACCTAGCACTGAGTAGTAACAAACAGTAATTGATGTTATTGGTATCCTGCCAGACCTGTTTGCCCGCAGTTTCTCTGTACTCCCTTTCTGGAAGCCACGACGAGATTGCCCTGCTCCTTTTGCCCCCTGTGCATGACATTTACGTGAAATTAGAGTGGTGAGTGGGCTTGGACTTTTTTGACCCAGGCTCAAGATGCCATGGGCTTCCATCGGATGCGACCCGACAGGCTGACAGGCGGCCGCTAGGCTTCCCGGCTTCTTCCATGGCCTCCACCAAGGGCAGGGACTCGCATGCGACCAAGGCCGGTTTCTTCTCGATGGTGTGGATGCGGCGCAATGGAGACGAGAGAGATTTTGCCCTGCGCCATGGTGGTGGTGGCACAGGTGGCTCTCCGGCTAACATCATGTTCGTCATCCATCAGCGTCGGCGCCCACGCAAGATGCCTGGCAGCCTGGCCGCTGTCGCGTGCGCGGCTTGACGAGGACAACATGGCCTTGCGACTGCGTCTGTAATCAATCTGCCCGAAGCTGGCATTCGGGCTGCCGTTCAACCGTGTACTTCGCATCGGCCGGGCCATGTATGGAGTACATCTTTTCCAGACCTAGTAGGGCGTGTTTGACTAGTACTCGCTACTCCGTATCAAACTTTGCTACCCGCGCTAGACAATAATATTTGAAACAGCTGCGAACGTTGATGCTTCCTGGCGCGAATCCATGTGAGAACATGAGGTAGGAAAATTATGTATATTGGTCGACAGCAAAGTTATTGGATACACAGGGTTTTTTTAAAACGATATTATTTGTATAATATTTCTGGGTCATGGCTTGTTGTCTGTCGCCCTGCTACATTGACCCGTTTTCAACGGGCTCTGGCGGGTCAAATCTTGGGTAAAGTAAGTACCTAGGTACTTAAGTACGTAAGCATGTCCGGAGCAAAGTGGTTGGTACTACTAGCAGCACTCCGTATATGCACGACATTACAAACTTGGAAGCATACAACCGCTCTTGTATGTAAAATGGATGATGCCATCAATCAACACGCCAGAGGCCGAACCGTCAACCGAGGGAGCTGCACACCCACCACCACCAGCTACTAGTGTCTGCACCTCAGCACGCAGCCCTGCCCGTAAACTTCCAGGCAAAAGCACTTGAGAGGGTGCGGCATTTGGAGCACTTGTGCACGGGCGAAGTCCTCGTCCAGTTGACAGGCTGACGGGCGCTCAGGAGGGCGCTCAGTGGCTCCCCCCTGCTCTTCCGTATCCTTCTCTAGCTAGTCCCACCTTCAGAAATGGAAACGCCCTCCCTCCTTCCCAAGGGCGTCCCCACACCCGTACCTCTTAACTACACGGTACTTCGCTCTTCATCGCCCACGCCATTTCCTCCGATCCCACCTATTACTCATACGTATCAGAATCTGCCTGCACCATCCACGGCCAAATTTTTGCACCTCGTTTTTGCTATTGGCATTCTTTCTCTTCCTTCCTTACCTTTTCTTAATTTCAAAACTCTCATCATTTTCTCTTCACCTGGACCGCGCGTTCGTTTGACGGCAAGATAGCTGTCAAATGAACCTGCAATCGACGTATTTATTTAATCTCCCCGTACGTATCTCCTCGAAGAACCCTGCCCTGTACCTGAATCCCGTTGTACCCGCGGGCACAACTCTCATCCTGTTTTTCGCTACAACTCGACTTGTCTTTCTCCCTCGGACCTGAGGCGATACATATCGAGCCCTACAAGGGAAAAGAGCCTGTTCTGCTGACACCCAAAAACAGTCTTCTCCCCCCCCAGGTGTAATCTAAATGCCCACCATCTATTCCTCGTTGTACTCGAATTTCATCCGTCAAGGATCTACTGTCGCAAAGTCCATCACAACTCATGGCTACGCTCAGTCTTTCGTAGCTGCTACTCATCCACACGTTCTCAATGCGCAGAACCGCCCAGTCTTTGGGCGTCGACATACCAACAGACTCGGCCTTTCTGCCCTCCAGTTTCATTCGACTTTCCACAAGGATCTCAACGGAGGCGCTTCCGACCACAAAAATGCGCATACCCATTTGCCGTTAGACGCCTACTTTGAGGCCTTGCAAAAACACCAAGCTAGTGGCGAGCTTGACAAGGAATGGACTCAGTTTGAGTTCCCAAAACAGATTGAGTGGAAGCCTAGCGCCGCCACCGTCCTCCAAAGTGAGGATGCGGATGTCGCTGAGGCAGAGGCTCTCGCCGCATCGGAAACTCACTCGGCTATTTCTGCCGAAGACGAGGCTGCTCTCGCACACATTGACGCCGCTCTTGAGAGAGAGCTTGAAGCGCGGAAGCTCCTGGAGGCCGCTGAAAATGCGCCTGCTGTCGGGCAGTCTTCTTCGGTACCTCTGTCTCGAGCTGGAACACCTGCTGGCCGGAGATCTAAGTCTCCAGCTATATCTCGCACTTCGTCGCCCGATGTCGACCGTCAGTCCCAGTCTTACGCTGATCACCTATTCAAGCTGTCGGCAGCTGGAAGATATGCCGAGATTCCTGCCGTATTTGAGGCCATGCTGGCCACTGGTGTTAAGCCCATCGCCAGCGCATACAATGCCCTGCTGGTAGCTGCCATTCATATTCCCAGCAAGAAGATCGAAGTCGTATCCAAGGCACTCGATGTCTATGCGGACATGGTTCGTCGACGAATTTCTCCTGACAGTGATACATACGATATCCTTGTTGGTCTGTTGGCCTCTCGATCTATGGAGGTGTCTAAGATGAAGGCCGCCCTGGAGGACAAGCGTCAACGATTTGGTGGCATGGACGAGCCTGGCAAGTTCATGCTCGCTTCCCACGAGCTCGAACATGCCATTCTTTGTGAAGACGATAGACTTGATCTTGCCCTGAAGCTGTTCAACTCGTCGGTGGATGTTGATGCGGCCATGTACTCCTCTGAGACGTATCACCAGTTGATCTCCGCCTGTGCCGAGTCTGGCCGTGTTTCTGACATGCTTCGACTTTTTGAGCACATGGAGTCCACAAAGACGGTGCCATTTGCCTCCATTTTCCCTACCATGATCAGCGCCTTTGCTGAGCGCGGTGACCTAGTCAGTGCCGTTGAGTGCTACAACGAGTACCGTAGCCTGGCTGTGGCCCAAGACGGAGGCGAAACTACTCTGCATGACCGCGTCGACTCCGAGGTATATGCGGCTGTGATCAACGCTTATGTCGTCTCTGACAAGATCGAAGGTGCTATGAAGTTCTTCGAGAAAATCGTCAGGGAGTATGGCGTTCGTGCGAAGGACATCAAGGATGCGTTGGTCAGCACCGGGTTTGTCAAGGGCTTCATTTCTCGGGGCATTTACCAAGAAGCCTTCCAATGGGCTCAGTCTGTTGAAGCTGAGTCACAGTCCCAGGCCATGATTCGAATTGCCACTGTCGCAGCGGACCACGACGACAGCCTGACTGCTACTGAGGCGTACGCCAATATCGTAGCTGACCCGCAGGCCCTCGTCACACCTACTACGGCCCTTTTGGCCATGAGTATCCGAGGTGGCGACGTTGCTGCCGCTACCAAGTACTGGCATGCGCTCAACAACCCCGAAGTCAAGGCTACTGTTGACTTCATTGAGCCCACTGTGATGTATGCTGTGGCCTTGATTGGATCCGGACAGGTCGCTGAGGGTCTGGCTCAATCTGAGATGATGTTTGAGAGAATTCGTGCTTCGGAAGCTGAATTAGCTGAAGAGATCGATGAGGGCGTTGACTTCATCCGTCGTTATATGGAACGCCGTGGCCTCACCGATCCTCGTGAGATTGCGTCCCAAACGCACAATGGCACTCCCTTTATGCCAACACCTTCTGTTGCTAATTTTGAAGATACTTTTGACCCCTATGCGCACAACACGGATTTCAAGGGCTCTTCTCTCATTGCTGAGGACCTTGAAGGTGGCCACGGGCGAAAGGGCTCTCGCTTGAACGACGCTCTTGGACGTTTCCGCAACATTCGCCGTGCTGGTCGTCATCCTCGCTACATCACCTATGCAAAGCTGATTTCTGCGGCCGCTCGAGATGGCAAGATGGAGTTGTGTCACGAAATTTTCGCCATGGCTCGAACAGACATGCCTTTGCTGGCTCAGTACGCTGTTGTTCGATACGGCTGGTTCTCTATTCTCGATGCCATGGTCGCTGCTTGCTTGACCTTGGGCAACCGTGGCCGCGCCGAGCAGTACCACCAGGAGCTCTTGGAAATGGGCGCCGCTCCGTCTGCAAATACTTACGGCCTCTACATTACGACCTTGAAGGACTCCACCAGGACTTTTGACGAAGCTTCCGCAGCTGTGCAAATATTTCACAGGGCCAAGTCTGAGGGTGTCGAGCCGAGCTCTTTCCTCTATAATGCTCTCATTGGCAAGTTGGGCAAGGCTCGCCGTATCGACGATTGCCTGTTCTACTTTGCTGAGATGAGGGCTTCAGGAATCAAGCCCACTTCGGTTACATACGGAACCATTGTTAACGCCCTGTGCCGTGTAAGCGACGAGAAGTTCGCCGAGGAACTGTTCGACGAGATGGAGGCGATGCCTAACTACAAGGCGCGTCCTGCGCCATATAATAGTATGATGCAATTCTTTCTCACTACTAAGCGCGATAAGATCAAGGTACTTGCCTACTACGATCGCATGAAGGCTAAGGGCATTGCCCCTACTTCTCACACTTTTAAGCTTCTTATTGACACTCATGCTACATTGGAACCCGTCGACATGCCCGCCGCTGAGAAGGTCTTGGAGTTGATTCGTGCTTCCGGCCAACCGGAACCTGTCCACTACTCTTCACTCATTCACGCCCGCGGTTGTGTACTGCACGATATTGACGGGGCTAGGAAGCTATTCGACTCTGTTGTCCGCGAATCGTTGGTGCCTGTTAATGCAAGCTTGTACCAGGCACTCTTTGAATCCATGGTTGCCAACCACCAGGTTGCCGATACCGAGCCTCTCCTTGCCCAGATGCGACAGAAGCGGGTTGAACTTACACCGTACATTGCCAACACCTTGATTCATGGCTGGGCTGCCCAGAAGAACATTAGCAAAGCCCGTGAAATCTATGATGCTGTGGTTCGTGAGAAGCGGGAGCCAAGCACTTACGAAGCCATGACGCGGGCCTACTTGGCCGTTGAACAGCGCGACCAGGCCGAGACTGTTGTCTCAGAGATGCGTACTCGTGGCTATCCCAGTGCTGTGGTGAACAAGGTCTTGGAACTCCTTGGCGGTGGCCGGGAGGCCCCTGTTGTGTAAAGCTGTTTTGCTTTGACTTTCGACATGGGTTTATTGAGGGTGGCATTTCCTTTGTTTGATGAGCCTCTTGTTTTGATACCCTATTGCATTTGTTGAGGGGTGTTATGGGGTGTCGCTGTTGTTAATATGAGGCTCAATTGCCTGTTTTTGATTACATATTGGTTTCTGTTTCTTGTTTCATTTCGGCATGGCGTTTCAGGTCTTACTAAAAGAGAGCGGCCTCTGGATAGGCTGGGCTTGCAAAGGTATGAATGGCATTGGATTCCGTGGGCGGTCACCCACTTATAGACAACATCTCCACTCGGGCATGATAAAAAGCCATTTGAGAAGCAGCATATGGGTCAATGCCAAGGGGCAACGGGAAGGGGAGTGCGATCATCATGGCATGCAGGAATTAAGGGGCTACGATAGAGCAAGGACGTGATCCTGTTGCTTGTATTATATGGACCGGATAATAAAAAAGATCTAATGCCTTATGCCAAATAACGTTTACCGCTAGTCTATCATATGTCTGGTTTATGTGATGGGAGGAGAATTGGTGCTGGGAGGTTATGTACTTCTCCTACGTACTGTATGAATAGATGTCAAAGTGTGAATCACACACTGTGATACGATGCCCCACCCACCCACCAGTTGCCCACCATGATTTGACGATAATACCTTGATAACTTTCCGATACGAACTGAGTTTACCGACCATGCCGCATTCGTACATGACGAAAGATCTGTGACGTCTTAGTTCCTTTTGTCCTAGCTCTCGGAAGCTCGAAAGCTCTGAATTGCTCTAATTTCAACGGCTTCTAGAAGTCGTTGACCGGGCTGGGCTTGTCGAAGAATTTCTCTCCCCAGCATCGCCAACTACAAACACCCCTCACTAGCTCCCCTCATTTAGCGCGCAAAAGCCAAGCTTCGTATACTCGGCCTCCCAGGCAGCCGGACGCCCAAAAAAAAAAAAATAAAGAAAAAAGAAAAAAGGAGGCCCCATGGCAAGCAAGAATCCCACCGTGGCCGTCTCGGCGCCCGGCAAGGTCCTCCTCGCAGGAGGCTACCTCGTGCTCGACAGGAGGCACACGGGTCTCGTGTTTGGCCTCAGCGCCAGGATCAACGTCGTCGCGGGGGAGATTCACACGAGCCAAGGCGTCCAGCTGAACGAGATCATGGTGGACAGCCCGCAGTTTCTGGATGCGCAGTGGCGATACGGGTACCACTTGGCGCCCGAGGGGGGAGGCATCCAGGTCACGCAGTTGCAAGTGTGAGTGGCCTTTTACCCTGCCCTGTCCTTCCCAGACGATGAGGGAAGGACCGTGAGCGACGACGACGACCATGCTGACTGGCTTCTTCTTCTGTTTATTTTCAACATAGGGGTTCTGTCATTTGCAAAAACCCGTTTGTAGAGACGACGCTCAGCTATGTGCTCACGTACATCCACCGCCTCATGAGCCGGGTCTCGTCAGACCACAGCCTCAGGCCGGCTCGGCTCATCATCCTAGCTGACAACGACTACTATTCTCAGTCTACGCCGAGGAGCGGCGAGCCGGGACGCTTCGCCAGGTTCACGGTGCCGCTGGGCGGAGCCAACAAGACGGGGTTGGGATCGTCCGCCGCGCTGGTGACGGCTCTTACGGCGGCGCTGCTGAGCCACTACCTCCCGTGGAGGCTGCTGGACATCACGTCGGCGCCGGGCAAGCGCCGGCTGCACAATCTCGCCCAGGCGGCCCACTGCGCGGCCCAGGGCAAGGTCGGGTCGGGGTTTGACGTTGCGGCCGCCGTGTACGGGTCGTGTCTGTACAGGAGGTTCTCGCCCGGTGTGCTGGGCCAGCTGCCCGAGGCGGGGTCGCCCGGCTTCGCTGAGAAGCTCGTGTCGGTGGTGGACGGCGTGGCTTGGGACGTGGAGGTGCTGACGGACGGGCTGCGCGTGCCCGAGGGCGTGGCACTGCGCATGTGTGACGTCGACTGTGGGAGCCGGACGGTGGGCATGGTAAAGAAGGTGCTGGCGTGGAGAGGCAGAGACGTCGACGTGTCGACCAGGTTGTGGGACGAGCTCCAGGCGCGAAACGAGGACCTGGCCGCCAAGTTGAGAGACGGAAACGTGGCTGACATTCCGACCGCCGTGGGCAAGGTCAGGGAGTTGATTCGTGAGATGGGCAAGCTGAGCGACGTGCCCATTGAGCCCGAATCCCAGACGGAGTTGTTGGACGTGTTGAGTGCTCTTGAGGGTGTGTACGGTGGTGTCGTCCCTGGGGCGGGGGGCTTTGACGCTCTCGCTCTGCTGATGAAGGATGATGAGGAGACCAAGAGGCGTGTGGAGGAGAGGGTTGCCGAATGGAGTCGGGAGAAGGGCTCCAAGGTTCGCTTGTTGGATGTAAAGGGTGAGATGGAGGGAGTGAGATGTGAGAATCTAGACGTTTACTCTGGATGGATAGAGATCCATGATAAGGATTAGAAAGAACAGATAAATTTCAGCTCGCAGTTTGAACACGGTACAGAGATGAACAAAGAAAAAAAAAGGAACCTTTTCGATTTGCCCGTTGCCAGAACCAAGCACATTACCCATGCTACAATACATCAACTCCAAGGAACACCGCTGCCTCCCTCACTTAGCCAATTCTAATAATATTCTCCCATTAAAAAGGTGTCTTGTCTACGCCGTCCTGTCTTCTGGTGCTTTCCATATCTTTATTCAAGAAAAACAATTGATATAACCTTGCTAAGAACCAGCCACGACACAAAAGAAAATGTTGGTACACGTGTCATCGTTGACACAAATCAAATAACTCGATTCGCCTAATACCATAGGGGACGTGTCTCGATCTCCATAGTAGCAGGCTGCACGGCACGAAGTCGTGGAGACGGGCGAGACATCCTGTGGTACTCGGATGGGAATTCGGGACGAAGTTCGAGGACACCGATGCGCGAGGCGGCTGCTTTCTCTCGGAGGATGGATATTCTTCATCTTGTTAGTCTAGTGGCTTCCAAACAGTTTCACAAGTTGAATGGATTACGTACTCTTCTTGAGAAACGCCGGGGAGGGTGGCGGGTTCGAGCTTCAGGTCAAAAGGAGCAGACTAAATTGTTAGCTATACACTGAATAAAATTATTCTTCTGGCAGCATGAGGCAAAGAACCTACAATCTCAATGTCCCGTCGCGCTCTTCTCCGATCCCGAAGCAGGCTCTGAAGACGTGTGTAAAGCATGACGAAGTTGTTCTTGACGTGCATATGAACGTTCCGCGGTCGATCTTCCCGAAAAACCAAATGTTAAGGACCGTGGCTGCCGTGCGTTTGTGAGAAATGTCGAGATTATTAGATGATATAATGTTAGGTGGGAAATGATGTCGAATTCCAAATAATCGATTCCAGCCTCGGGGGGGCCAAAAATCCAACCGATGGTCTATGTTGTTCCAAGACGTGCTTTTATTTGCTATTTTTTCTTCTTTATATTGTCGACTCTGATAAGCTGTAACAAGGTTTGATTTGTGATGTGGTGTTTTCGTAATCCGAGAGACCTGGAAGAGAGCAATCTAGAAGAATGTCGACGCGAGAGGAGGAGAAAGAAAATAAAGACAGAATGTAATAATGGCGTTCGATAATTAAAAATAGTATAAAAGTGTCGAAGGTGAAAGAGCAATGTTCAACTTGGGGTGCTGAATGACGAAATGACAAGCGAGCGAAGTCGAGAAGACAATATTTTCGTTTGTTTGGTGTAGATGTTCAAAAAGAGTGGCACGCTGACTTGGCTACAGGCCCGTCAAGCGGAATTATGGAAGTGAGTAAAGAGTGGAAGTCTGGAGAGGACTTTGAGGAGGTGATGAGGATGGAGATAGAGACGGAGGGGAAGGATGGTGTTATATTTAAGATGGGATTTGCTCTGCGTATCGTATAGCCATCGTGTTTCGAAGGGGCGGGTCTGAAATGTCTTCCGATACAAGCATGCGCAAGGGAGCACATTCACGAGAAGACTCCGAAAGGTGTTTCCCCAAGACTGGCGTTTAGAAACTGGAGGAAGCCGGGGGGTGAGAGGCGTGTGAGATTCGAATCCAGGTTCGGGAACAGAGACACCCGGGGGTGGCAGTGAGAAAGAAAAACTTTTAGGATGCCGACCCAATGGCGCGGAGCCAATGGCGAATTTTTAACGAAAGGGCGAGCAAAAGTCCAAGACATGAAACCTTGAAGCCTTGGAGCCTCACAGCCTCGTTGGGGGCTGGCACAATACTGGAAGGATCAACTCTCGATGGCTCACGATTGGACTCGGGGAAAAATGGACCAAAAGGTTGTCGTCGTCTACTAACGACGGCGTCGCCTTTGGCTCGGTGCCGTCAGGCGTGGTGTACCTGACGTACGTGATGCGCCTGACGTGCCTAGTGGTGGTAGGTAGTATCCAATGTAACTATCTAGTGTGACACAACGTCAAGGGTCTTGCATTGGTGCCAAACCCGAGCGAAGAATGCATCCTCGTCTCCTTAACGCCACGACACTTCCCAAGGGCCTGCCGGGCTTGGTCGGGCTGAATTAGGAAAGAAGGTGTCCCGCAGCATCTTCATAAATTGGCAGGTGCGTGCCTTGCAGGAAGCTCTGCAAAACAAGGAACCGGAACCATGCTGGTGGGATTATTGGCAGGGCAGCATGTCTCCCGCGTAACCAAAACAATGGGGGGGATGCCTGTTGCTTATTCTTTTTTTTTTTTTCACCTTCTGCTTGTTCTCTATTTGCATAATGCAATACGCGTCTTTTTTCCTGGTGACGTTGTTGATTGTCAAACCTAAACAAGTTGTCGGGTCGGCTTCCGCTCCGAGATGAGAAAGAGATTGGGTGTGTGGTCACAACCCCAGCGATGATCAATTGATCTGAAATTGGGCGGGGCTTACGGGAGCCAAAAAGTGAAGCAGACGCCGACAAACAAAACAAAACGAACAGGGAACATGGTTGGCACAATTCTTGCTGGCCCAGCCATTATGCAGCGTGAATGCGCAAAAAATATTGGAAGCCCAACGAGGCAAAGTTGAACTCCGATGGGGCGGACCGCGTGGCTGACGCTGTTGGAATGCCACCGGCTATTATCAGCCTCGTATTGTTCGAGAAGAACCCCGGAGCTGGCTGGAATGCTCTTTTGATTTTTTTCTTTTTTGGCCTATTTTACTACAACTGCCTTGGTTCATTTCTGTTGCTCGTATTCTCCGATGCCGCTCACGCCAACCATGATTAATGACAGATGCGCAGGGAGAAACAATAAAAAAGCATTCGTGGCCCAACCAACACATGGGACCGGGTCGGTGCAGCACCGCACGGCGTTATCTGCGGACGGAATTCGTCTTTTGCTTTTTTTTTTTAACACCCGACATGAGGCTGAACAATCTACGTACATACATAGTAGTACATACAATCTGCAGGATTCGCGCATCCACAGGCTATCAGACGGGCAAGCAAGGGTCTTGACGTGACATGGCAGCTTCTCCCTCGTGATTTTAATCTGGCATCATCACGGGTAAATGGGCTGACATGGATCTCCATCTGCATTGTTCCCTAGCTAACTACCGGGTCAACATCCTCGGCCTTGATATCTTTCCTGTAACCACCGCCGACCAAGACTCGATTTGTCAGTTGGCACAGACAGTGAAGTGCTTTTTTTTTTTTTTGTTTCCAGGCCGCCGGGCCGGGTGTTCGGGACTTTCAGCTGGGTGGGCATTTTACTACTACGTAATGAAGGCAACCGTGCTGGCAATTTAATCCCGGCTGCGATGCGTATCAAAATGATCCACCCGGCAACACTGCAAGCAGCAGGGCAGCAGATGGCCCGCATCGATGGCCACCGCCTGCTTCATCATCTTCCATGCTGAGCTGTAGATGATGTAATGCGTTGGCCCGGTCGGTCAATAATACCATGTATATCTATCCATCCTACCCAGCCCTCGGTCAGCCTATGCCTCACGCCTCACGCCTCTGCTTCGGTCGATGGCGTCCGCGAGCCCCCAGCCGCCGTAAGCATTGATCCATTCAATATTCTGGTGACCAACGCCGCGGATAATATCAGAATCCAACTCCACCACTTTTCTCAGGCAGAACACTAGCAACTTTTATCATCCTCCCTTGCGTGGCGAGCCTGTCTTACTCCCTTAGCGAGTCAATGTCACGGTTTACAGGTGGGACAGTTTTAAACACCCAAGGATACATACTACATAGCCTCATACGGCTTGCCAGACTCAATTTGCACAATGCCCACAATGTCCACAGGCACGTCGAGACTCGTTGTGATCTACATGCGCACATCGACTACTAGCGAAATCCGCCCCGGCTTGCCGACGAGTTTGTGTTAGGGCCCCGGAACGCTTCCTTGGCTTTGACAGCATGCCAAGCGTATTGGTACCGCCATTTCTCGGGGAAAATGACAATTCTGACCAATGTCGGCGCCCAAAACCGTCTCTTGGCTGTATGAGATTGACGAGATTGACCGTGTCTGAATTTTTTTGGTGGTGAATGCAGGGGACGCGAGCGGCTTCTCAGCCGTCAACCAAATCGTAGACGACACCTTCGCCTCTCGTCTGAGCAGAGACAGCTGAGTGCAGAGAGATACTCATTGACTGTTGCCGTGCTCGAAGCATTTACTCTTCACAAGCTTGTTGTCAATTTCCGAAACTGCTTTGCGAACACTATAGCTCTGGTCCCCGCGCGGATCGGGTCCCATATTCCGAGAGTCTAGTCATCTCCCGCACCATGCACCCCAGCATTCAGCAATCAGGAACAATACTAGTTGCCAATACCATGGACAGGGGTCTCCCACCAGTCGCTACTTCAAGGGAGATCTCGCTAATCGTCTGATCGAAGCCCAATTTAACACGCCCCCCTTTCCCGACCTGGTGCCCGAGTGAGCCCTTGTTCTAAAAGGCAGTCTTCCAATGCTTCCTAGCGTTAGTTACAGTCACTGGACAAAAGTCTCGATAATGACCCATTTTTACACCAAAACTTATACTTTTTAAGTATAAATAAATCAAGATTTTTATATGTAAGTAAATTAATAAAAATCTAAACTTAATAAATAATTAATTAAGATTTACTATTATTATTTTTTAATTAATTTTCTTATTTTTTTAAGCATAGATTTTTAAGCTTAAAAAACGAAAAAATTAAAGATTTCAATTATAGTGGGTTATAGTGGATGTTATAGGGGATTAAGAGACTAAAAAAATCTACTTATATATTTAACCTTTAATTATAAGAGAAGTACTTTATTTATAATTATAAAAATTATATATTATTATAATTATTATAAGAATTTAATATAATTTTAGTTTTTATAAATTTTTATTAAAACGTTAAGTAATAATTCATTAATAAAAGTAGTAAGTTTAGGTGTAAAATCGCTAATTATCGTGACTTTTGTCTACCCACTGTACTTAGCGATAGGGTCAACCCGTCGTGCCATGCAGTGTACCGGACCCCTCCAAACAGCATCTCTTCATCTGCACCTGGAATGAATGCACCTCCCATTTCTCTCATGCCTCTCCACAAACAGGATCATCGACATTGGGGGTCGCAGTTATTTCGATTTGCACAGAGACGAAATCAAAAAAGGGCCAACCGAGCTCCGTTGGACGCCGCCACTATGCCCGGCCTCGGTGCCCAAAACAGCTCAGTCGCTCCGACAGACGCCCATGTCTTGCGCGCAAAGGCCGCCGAGTAGAGTAACTGAGGTAAGTCTCAAGTCACACCAGCCAATCCGCTGACGCACCGGCACGGTGGAAGCTGCTTATTGCGGATAGCTCTTGATGTGGAAGCTCTTGAATTTAACAAATTGCTCAAAACCAAATCGCCCCAATGTCTGGCCCTTGCCAGAGTTCTTGAACCCTGTCCAAGCGAGATCCTAGTGTCTTCAGTCAGCAACTACAACAAGGGAATCCAGATGAGATGCACTCTTTTGCCAGCACCGCGCTTTGTTGCCAGGGATTACTCACAGGACTGGGATAATCACAACGGTTCACAAACACAGTGCCCGCCTCCACATCTTCTGCCAACTCGTATCCCTTTTCCGTGTCTTTGGTCCAGATGCTAGCAGTGAGGCCGAATTCACTATCGTTCATAAGCTTGATGGCCTCGCTATCGCTCTTGACCTTCATCACCGGAATTACTGGGCCAAATGTCTCCTCAGTCATAACAGTCATTGTGTGGTCCACCCCAGTCAGCAACGTAGGTTTCACAAAGTTGCCTTTGGGTGGCGGGTTACTGAAGCTCTCGTTGTCTGGCGTAGCATCCTTGGCGCCTTTGTCTAAGGCGTCCTTGATGTGTGACTCAATTGTCTGTTTGGAACGCTTGGAAATGACGGGTCCAACATGAGTCGTCTTGTCAAATGGATCGCCCAACTTGTAACCCTGAAGCACCTTTTGCACGCTCTCGATAAAGGCATCGTGGATTTTTTCGTCAACGTACACTCTCTCAAGCGAGCAGCAGCTCTGGCCGGAGTTGAAGACAGCTCCGTCGACAATCTCCTCGGCAGCCCAGGCAACGTCTACGTCGTCTCGGATGTAGGCAGGGTCCTTGCCACCCAGTTCCAGCCCAACATTCACAATACGGTCAGAAGCAGCCTTTTGAACAGCCAGACCGCCGGCCACAGAGCCAGTGAAGCACACGTGGGCAATTCTAGGGTCCCGGATTAAGGGTTCCATGACACTCGGTGAACCGCAGTGGAAGTATTGAAGGACCCCCTCCGGCAGCCCAGCAGTCGCAAAGAATTGGGCGACGTGCTCCACGATGGTGGGAGTTTGGGGAGATGGCTTGAGAATTACCGTGTTTCCAGCCAAGATTGCGGGGATGAGGGAGTTAACGAGAATAAGGTAGGGATACTGAGACACCGTTAGTGCTTGCCAAATTCTACGGCTGCAGGTTCCGCCGCAAGCTGTGAAGCACCTACATTCCAGGCAAAGATTATGAGCACCGGTCCGACAGGCAACTTGCGAATGAAGCGCGTGAAGCCTTTTTCTGGTTCGCCTGCCGTGTCCTTGAGAGCCTCGTCGCTAATCTTAAGCAGGTATTCGGCGCGTTTGACAGCCGTTGCAATTTCCTTGCCAGTGAAAGCAATGGGACGACCCATCTGGACAGTCAATTCCTCCGCAAGCTCAGCCTCGTGGCTGGAAAGCTCCTTGAGGAATTTATTGACAATGTCCTGTCGCTCCTTGAGGGTAGTCTTGCGGAAGCTTTGAAACGCCTCGGTGGCGACCTTGGGCATCAGATCAAGGTCCGCGGCGGAGACTCCATTTCGAGTTATGATAGCCTCGTTGGTATTTGGGGAGATGGTGTTGATTACTTCGACGGACATTTTGGCAAGTGGTGTTGGTTAGCCAATTTGGAGCAAATTTCCTGCTTGTACCAGAGAGCCGTCGCCCAAGATGTTGTGGTTGATTCGAGGTCGTGGACGGCTCCCCAAGGTGAGGAGATGTCGACGTAGATAAAGTGGGCAAACACGCTCGACCATGACCTCAACCGCATTTGCACACCAGTTAACAATTCGAGCGCCCCACGTCACCCTACAACATGGAGACATCCAAATGGAGGAGCTTCAATAAGGGCAGCTTGCCACCACCATGATGATGGCATGAGCAGCGTCTGATAGCCGCGTAGGAGCGGTAGGGGCGCGCACCGAATTCGGCTCCATCAGTAATAAGAAGCCAGGCCCCGCCGCGGCAAAGACTTGGGGCATTGCAGCATCTTGTCTCCTGTCAAGGAACGCAGATAGTCATCATGAGCGGGGTAACTGCAGCGTACGAGCACTTTGAGGTGTAAGCGCGCCATAGCAGATGTCAAGGTTCACTCTTTAAGGCGCGGACCGTTCAAAGTCTTGTCCCCTGGCGGGGATAAGCCGCTGCAAATGTTGACTTCAGCCTGGAAAGAAAGACCAGTTGACGACAGCGGGGCTCACCACCTGCAGCTGTGAGCAGTTGCACCTAAAGCCACTACACTCGCTAGCCCAGGAGATATTACTGGGCGTCTACTCCGTATTCTCCAGCCAATAAACACGCCCCACTTACACTCAGTGCAGCCTCTCATCTTATCGCTGCTTCGACTGCAACTTTTTCCTGCTCGATTGACATTCCCAAACAGCTTGCAACGACAAGTTCGTCCTGCCGGCACAACCACAGCCAGAATGGCCTCAGAAAAGAGGAACAAGTTCCTGGATGCTCCCGAAAGCGACGATGACCAAATTGACAACTACAACTCCGACGATGAAATAACCAAAGGCCGTCGCAGTACAAAACGGCGCCGGGTTGACAGTGATGATGAAGATTATGGTAGCGACATCGACCGAAGTGCCAGCGATGACCAAGGTTCAATCGACCAGGATGGACAGGAAGGTGATTCCTCAAAACAGGTCAAGAAGGCCAAATCAACATCTCGAAAAGAATTACCCAAGCTAGAGACGGGCCTCCCCGACATTAGCAAACCCTTGACAAAAAAGAACCTCGTCGCTTCTGAAGAGGCCATTAAGAAATCTGGCGTGGTATACATGTCCCGCATACCGCCGGGGATGAAGCCTTCTGCCCTGCGATCTTTACTATCGCCATATGGAAAGTTAAATCGGGTATTCCTGGCACCCGAGGATCCCACTGTCCGCGCCAGGCGAAAGCGTGCCGGTGGCAACAAGAGAGTGCTATTCACCGAGGGATGGGTCGAGTTCGTTAAGAAGAAGGAAGCAAAGGCTGCATGCGAATTATTAAACGGACACAATATTGGTGGCAAGAAGGGATCTTTTTTCCGCGACGACATCTGGAACTTGGTGTATCTGAAGGGTTTCAAGTGGCATAATTTGACGGAACAAATTACTACCGAGAACGCAGAGAGGACAAGCCGCATGAGAGCCGAGATTAGCAAATCTACCAAGGAGAACAAGGAATTTGTTAGGAACGTGGAGAGAGCCAAGATGTTGGAAGGTATGCAGGCCAAGGCGAAGAAGAGGAAGGCTGCCGACGTGGAGGAGGAGCCTGTACGACAGGGTGAGCGGTCGTTTAGACAGGTAAAACAGGTGAAAAAAGATGACAAGGGGGCACTGGATCAGCCAGAGAGCGTCACGAGAGTTTTGAGCAAGATTTTCTAAGGGATTCGTTGCCATGGATTTTATCTTGGGTGTATTCGCATAGCGTTGTATTGACTGGCAGGATAAGATATTGGATACTTGCACGTTACTCGAGTCGCAGATTAAGTGATCAAGCACGGTGAAATGTATGAGTATTGTTGGCCTGACAAGTATTTAACAGTAGCCTCGATTCACAAGGTACGTATAATTCAGCTTTTGGTTTGATCCACGTGAATGTCCCGTCAGTTTGTCCATGCCAGTCTCGATTTCGGTTGGTGCTATTGGCCCACAGGCTTCCCGTGCAACTTCTACCAGACTTCTTCTGGCGGTTCTCGCCCCCGCCGTCGATAAGATTCTTCAGACGCTTATCAAGCAGCGGGGCAAATATTTTTCTCGACCCCAGCGAGTCACCACCGAGCCAAGTCGTCTGCTGCTGGTCCCAGTCTACCTGAACTGGGCGTCAATCTCACTTCAACCAACCCTTCATCCTCATCCGACGTCTAATCTTGGCCGTTGAAGATGTCGATGGATCTTGATGACGCTCCCGTCCCTCTTGGGGCGGCGACACAACAGACAGCCGCGACGTAAGTTCTGCCGCCTATTTATTCCCTTTTTTTATTGCCCTGGTTTTTTTTAGTCGGTTCTGTGGGAGGAAATCGCCTCTTTAGACGAATGACTAACTTGATATCTGTGCCAAGTATTCTCTGCTGCAACTGCGGTGCCCCTATTGACGGAACGACTGCCACCGGCGCCCTCTGCTTCAACTGCGTCAAACTCACCGTCGACATCTCCCAAGGCATCCAGCGCGAAGCGACACTCAACTTCTGCCGAGACTGCGATCGATGGCTGCTCCCACCGACCAGTTGGATTGTGGCCATGCCCGAATCCCGCGAGCTGCTGGCCCTGTGTCTCAAGAAACTACGAGGTCTCCATAAAGTCCGCATTGTTGACGCAAGCTTTGTCTGGACGGAACCGCACTCTCGAAGAATAAAGGTCAAGCTAACGATCCAGGATGCCGTCCAGGATGGCGTCTTGCTCCAGCAGAGTTTTGAAGTTGTATACGTGGTGGCGACCCAGCAGTGCCCCGAGTGCGCCAAGTCATATACTGCCAACGTCTGGAGGGCGTGTGTGCAGGTGCGACAAAAGGTTTTGCACAAGAGAACATTTTTGTTTCTGGAACAACTCATGATGAAACACAACGCCCACAGAGAGACTCTCAATATCAAGGAGGCCAAGGACGGGATTGATTTCTTCTTCTCGCAGAAGAACCAGGCCGAAAAGTTTATTGACTTTCTGAACTCTGTTGTACCCGTCACTGTCAAGGCATCCCAGGAGCTCATTTCTCAGGATGTCCACACATCCAAAAAGTCGTACAAGTTTTCTTATTCAGCCGAGATTGTGCCCATTTGCAGAGACGACTTGGTTGCCATGCCCATCAAGCTGGCCAAGCAATCCGGCAATATCTCACCCCTCGTCCTGTGCCACAAGATTGGGACTTCGGTCTATCTGATGGACCCCCAGACCCTCCAGACCGCCGATATTGCCTCGCCGATATACTGGCGCGCCCCCTTCAGATCGCTCGCCGATGCCCACGAATTAGTAGAATTCATCATTATGGACATCGAGCCCACCAACACCCGAAGAGGAAAATGGGTCCTCTCCGAAGCCACCGTCGCCAGAGCATCGGACCTCGGCGTCAACGACAAGACTTACTTCACGAGAACACACTTGGGCAACTTACTCCAACCTGGCGACTCGGCCATGGGGTACCTCCTTACAGGCACCATGTTCAATAACGCCGAGTACGAGGCCATCGAAGAGTCCAACACATACTCTTCCACCATCCCTGACGTGGTCCTAGTCAAGAAGTACTACCCGCGTCGCCGGAAGAACCGCCGCCGCAACTGGAAGCTCAGGCGTATGGACAAGGACGAGGGCGAGCTGCTACCCAAGAAGGCCGATCAAGATCGCATGGATCGCGAGTATGAGCAGTTCCTGCGGGATGTGGAAGAGGATGAGGAGCTGCGTGCCGCCATGGCTCTATACAAAAACGAGAAGAGAGCCGAGGAGGAGATGAGTGTTGCGGAAACAGAAGAAGACGAGGATGACGGCGTTCCGCAGGTTAACATGGACGAGTTGCTAGACGACTTTGACGAGCTCACAATGCACGACTCTTGATAGAAGTGGCTGAAGGGTGAAGAAGGAAAAGGCAATAATGAATTAAATTAACGTTGGCGTTTTTGCTGGGCCTTTTTGGTCCGCATACATGGGTATTCCAAGTCGTGTATTTTTCGTAACCCACATTCATAACCGTAAGTTGGTAAGCTTTGCCGTCCCCATCTCAAAAGAAGCGAGGTATCATGTCCCTCTCCAGCTTCGTGGGCGTCTGCGTCTCCCGCTCACCCGTCCTCCTCGCCATCTGCTCCCTCGACTTCTCCCGCCTCACCCGCCTCTGCCTCACGCCAAAAGGATCGTCCTCATCATCCTCACCCTCACCCTGCACCGCCTCAACCCGACCCCGTCCTGCGCCCGCCCCCGCCGG